GTCCCTACTGGAGATAACAGCAGCTCAGTGCTGCAGCTTTGCAGCAAGTAAACAGCAGGGGAGGAAGTTCCTTGTCATCATTTTCTTCCCTGATCAAACAATCCCCGGAGGCATTTGCAAAAGAAATAAAAGAGTCCTTGAATGTGGAGCTGAACCCTCAAAGAGGCTCTTATTATTTAGTCACTGAAAAGCCTTACGCTAGGATTCCAATATCTTTGTATATTTGCAAAGACTGAGTTTAAACAGTATTATGATAAGGCTCAGCAAGAAGTCACCAAGATGACTGAATCTAAGGAATCACCAATATAAACTCAGGGCAAGGAGAATTAATACAGGTGATCTACTCTGTTGTGGTAAGTAAACGTCTTATAAACGCTGAGGCTGATTGATAGTAATGCACACAGAAACGTCAAGTAAGTGCAGAGACAATTTTAAGGCTGCTGGAGCTCGAACCATGCAGCAAGATGGCAACTATCTGTGCCCTGCTCTTTTAATGCACATTTAGAAAAATCCCATACTTGATAGAAAGGGGGGACAACACAGTGTCACAATTCAAAGATGCTATTATACAAACACAATACCTTTAACAAAATTTCAATTAAAAATCATTTGAAAATGTCAACAAGTGGGGAAAAACCCACAGCATAGAAAATTTAGCAATGCTAGATTTATGAAATTACTCAGCTGGAGGCAGGATTTTAGATAGAAATGTTACTGCTAGAAAACATCAGTGTAAACATTTGAAGTGTTTACATTCTGCAATATTTAAGAGTGTTAACTGATCTAGAAAAAGGCAACAACATGGGCTTACGTGTCTTTGTGCAAAATGTACAAAAAAGCTAAACTACTGATCCAGGGCCTTTGCATTCTGTAAACAAAACTGGACAGCTGAATTAAAGAAACTACGAATTCTCTTTCTTCCCCTAGAATTAACATACTGCTGTATGGAGAGAAAAGCCTGAAAAATCTGCACTGTTCTTCTTTGAAAGATTTCTAAGCTCTAGGATAGAAATTGCCTTTCTTTTTCAAAAAGTTTGTGTTTACATTACTGTGTTTTTAACAAATGCAAGTGGAGACAACTAGAACTTTGAGAACTGAAAGTGGATGGAGAGGGCCATCGCTTCCCACAGACCCTGCGTTCTTTGGGTCTACTGCCAATTCCAGCCAAGTAAGTTTTGTGCACACCTTGAACATTTTCTCTTCCCCACCCAGAACACTCTTTGAAGAAGTAACTGCTTTTTCAGACTAAAAGGCAAGCTGGCAAAGTGGTGAGAGCTGTTGCTTTAGAAACGTGAAAAGATTTAGGTGCTTCCCTCTTTTTAAAAAAATAAATGTAATTAAATCTTTTGCCATAATTTGTTCATGTATCTTACAAATTCTAATATAGCATAATTTAGTGCTATTCCACCCAACTACACAGCAATGATTCACCTCTGAAAATACTTCTGCAATATACTTAATCACTGCAACATGGTAACTAGGAAAACCACACCAGAGTAAATTCTGCTTTTTGTATGGCATTTAATGGTCCAATGGCCTCTCTGGGCATCTGGACAGTGATTACAGTAGTTACCTTACGTGATATCCTGCTTTATTCCCTATTCCACTATTTAGATCTCTATCAGTCATTACCTTAAAGTACTAGAACACCTTGTGTTAAGGATACAGAAGAGAACTTCACATATGAGTACTGAAAACATGCCAACTTTACACATACAACATACTCTAGCCTACCATTCGGCTCAGATAATGATGGTGCTTTTCCCTCTTAGCCAATCAGCAGGGCAAAGCAGTTATCACGTGCATCTCTATATAATGCAATGCATATCCATCAGTAAGTAATAATCATCCTGAAGATAGAAGCACATGGTAAGCTTCCAAGTCTTCTACGAATCTTTTAACAGAGTTGTTTCCTTTCATTTACACGCAGTGCATACCTGAACAAGGCTAAAATCTTCCAATTTCTTAATGTAAATTGGCAGAGAACTGCAAACTTTCACAAACTTCAATTTCTATAGCTTATTGACATCAAAGCTGCAACAGAGAAACACTATTCTTAAATTACTTCCTGAATATTTACAGTTTGTACACCTTGCATAATTAGCTTGCCTGGGGTTAATGTCCAAAATTGTCTAGCTATAAATAGCTGATAATATACAAACAGAAGCTGTAATTAGCTAACCATGCAGATACAAAAGTTATATCTAGCATGTACAAAACTAGGTTTTGGTCTTCTGCTTCTGAGTAGTCCACAAAAACCCTGTCTTTTAGACACCCAGATGGGTAAGGTTCACAGAAACAATTAGTCCCATGGACTTCTAAAGCAGAGAACCTAAAATAATAGATTTGTTTTTCTTTTGGAAATAAACTTTGACATCTCGGTTGTTTCTCAAGATACAAGGGCAATTCTAAAATACACGTCTCAAAAAAGTATTAGAATAGCAAAAGACAGACTAATTACAAATGCTCTCAAGAAACTGTACAGGTCCCTTAGCAAAATTCTTAATTCATTGTTACACAAGACAAAATTAATGCGACAGCATCCAAGATGAACAGAAGGAATGTAGCAAAGACTTGCAATCCCTGGATGCCTGTTCCAATCACGATAGGATGTAGTCCCATTAAAATGAAACTTTAAAAACCTTCCAACTGACAGCAATGAAGGGCAACTAATGGAAATAGAAGGCAAATATTAAGTTGGGTAAATTGGGAAAGGCTTTTCTGAAAATAAGCCCTCAGTTTTACTTCCACCCTGTAACCAAAGTCTATGAGATGTTCTTCCACATGCTTGGGACTGAGGTTTTCATATGGCTTGAAAGCAATCCTATTTATTGATTTCAAAGAGGAGAGACAAGTGGAAGAGCACCAGTGAGAATGGGTAAACAATTCAGAAACAGGCAGCAATTTTAAGAGCCTGCTAATGGAATGTAGTAAGTTGCTTGCAGAAACTGAAGAGCACTTGATTACAGTTCCGATTTATAGTCCCTTTGTCACTGTTTCTGTTGCTGATCCGACAATAATTCAGTATTAATGTCCAAATTATAAGGTACTGTGCATGTTGTTAGGTAAGAAGACAGTGACTTAGTTCCATCAAGCTCCTTTACATTATTGCAGTTAAAAGGAATTTTAAAGGCAAAACAACGAGGGGAACAAAGCCCTGAATTCCTGAAAATAAGACGTTAAAAACCACAAGGTAAATTCCCCAAATCCACTATATTTTTAGCTCAGGTCCCAGAAACCAGTTTGAAAGCTACCCCCTATGAGGAAAAAAAATGTGCCTAAATAGGAAAGAGTAATTTTAATCCCCGTTTACTTATGAATTATTACAACATGATTCACTGAAACTGCCTAACTCAAAAAACAGTTTTGCGCCAAAATGCATACAAAAGCTTAGTTAAGTAACCGATCCTGAGGCTTATCACAAAATTCCTTATCCTTTGGTCCAGTAGACAATTGCTTTGTTCTGTGGTATACAGGCTTAATTATACAGGCTCTGGGAAGGCGATAATGGTTGTGCAGGTCTTCCACTCCTCATTGCGACATTTCCTTATACAGAGACGAAACTTCTCACTTCCCTGCGCAAGAGCAATAAAATGCACTTTTGAAATGGTAACCATTATAGCTGATGCTTACTCATGACATCCAATCAATTTGTTTCCCCTTTTAAGATGCAAGTTAAAACACATCAGTCATTCTTCTGAAGAATGTAGCTTGTGGTTTTGCAAGGACTACAGGATATTGGCTGCAAAATATTTGTCCCCTTCTGCTGCCACCTTCCACCAGTGTGTGAAGACTTTTTTTGTTTCACTTGGCATTTCCTGAGTGATCCCATCCTCCTGATCATGTTTTAAATTTAGCTTTTATGTCTTTGTAAATTTTTAAACTCTGTTTTTAACTTGTTTTAATGATGTGGGTTGGGGGGATGATTTTGATGGTATTAAAATATGATTTTATTACATCTGCTTTAAATTGTTAGCGATCTTACTGGCCCTTGTGAGGGCAGAAAGGCAGGATATAAATTCTGTAAATGAATAAATAAATTCCACGAGACAGCTGACAGATCTCTTCACATGCAGGCATATGCATTTCCCTCTCTTTTCTGGCATAGCACAGTGAGTATAAATCTCCATTTTAAAAGCTCAGCTGCACCTGCAGATTCTGCTTCTCAACATCTTTAAACTGAAGCCCATATGTAGAATAAGCTCATAATGTCTAGTACTGTGTGAGCACCTATCAGAACTACAATTTTCACAGCGTTGAATCAGCAGCCATTCTATGCAAGGAACAAAATGGGGGCACCTTGGCACGTAACAGCCTTATACTGCCCACTCCGTCCTCAGAAATGAAATGTCACCAAGTTCAGAAAGGTGGAGTTGGGACACATAAAGTATAGTCATGTTAGGGGGGGAAAGGCCAACATTTGCCAGTCTGTTGGGTTCACCTGTTAGGAGAGGCACACAGCAAAACATTTCTTCACAGCATCCCTATGGGAAAAAACAAAAGATGAAACAAAGGTATAGGCCTTTAAACATTTACACTAGCCATATGAAGGTGTTTAGACATTTCCCTGTAAGCATATTTGCCATACAAATGTCACGTTACAAGAAGACTTACAGGTTGCCAATACTATTACACTGGAATAACCGATTATTATACTATTATTATACTGGAATAACCTATTGTTATTCCAGCCCTACAAGGGCAATATTTTGAATCCCACTACCAAATTATGTAATGATCTCATTTCTAAATCTCTAATTTTCACACAGTGGTACTTTATTAAAATCAGCCTCATTTTTCAAGCCACAGAGGAAGTTCGTTTTAGTAACTAGACAACTTCTGAAGTCAATGGAAGAAATCAAGCTTACCTTGCAAATGGTATATAGGAAATGCTATACCTAAAAGAAAGGGGGGGGGAACACATATTAGCAAGGATGAAACACACACTTCTCTTCCTGCATAACATGCATAAGAGGTCTAACATGAACTCAACACAAAGACAGCCCACCAGTAATGATTGCGGCCAGCCAACATCTGGCAGTCCTAGCAAAAAAACAAACTGGAAGCTAATAGACTGCATTTGGCTTGGTGAACTATATCTGGTTCTGTAAAACCTAACCTCCACTCCACAAAGTACAGTGTAGTGGTCATTGTCAGGCTAGGATCTGAAAGACCCAGGTTTGAAGAAGAAGAGTTGGATTTATACCCGGCCCTTCACTCGGAGTCTCAGAGCAGCTTACAATCTCCTTCCCTTCCTCTCCCCACAACAGACACCCTGTGAGGTAGGTGGGGCTGAGACAGCTCTTTTGAGAACCGCCCTTGAGAGAACAGCTCTGAGAGAACTGTGATTGACACAAGGTCACTCAGCTGGATGCATGTGGAGGAGTGAGGAATCAAACCCATTCTCCAGATTAGAGTCTGCCACTCTTAACCACTACATCAAACTGAATTCCTCACTCTGCCAAGGAATGTGGGTTTGTTTGGGGGGTTTTTGCTGACAATTTGCAGCCAACTTATAGTGATCCTGTAGGGTTTTCAAGGCAAGAGACGTTCAGATTGGTTTGCCACTGACTGCTTCTGCATAGAGACCCTGGTATACCTTGGCGGTGGTCTGCCATCCAAATATTGACCAGGGCCAACCCTGCTTAGCTTCTGAGATCTAACGAGATCCAGCTAGCCATGGAAGATTACTGACACTAAGCCAGTCAAAAACTCTCAGCCTAACCTACCTTAGGATAAAATGGAGGGGAGGAGTATGATGTATAAGCTGCTTTGGGTCCCCAACTGCAGAGGAAGGTGGGGCATGTATGCATAAATAAATGTAAAACCTCACCCAAAACCAAGGTCAGTTCACATTACTTTCCTGTCTCATTGATGCACTATACTTGCAGCAGTTGCAAGTTGAACCAGGGCCTCATTTCGCAACAGTTTTTCATGTACTCAGTTTCTCATGTAGAAAGGGTTAATATGGCCAAACCAGGGGAATGAACAGATATTTAAGGTAGATATCAGTGATTCCATCTTAAGGCAACTAAAGTAAAAAAAGCAAAAACCACTCAAAAAGGGCCTATAGAAGTTTGAGGGAGAAATTCAAATAATTGAAGATAAAGCCAAAGGGAAGAAAATCTTGAATTTAAAAAAATAGAAATTGCTGAAAGAACAAATACTGAGGCTGGCTTCCCCACACAGACTCTCATATGATTTCCAGTCCATATCAGTGGTACAGGATCTTGATATGATACAGAAAATGTGCAAGCTGTAGAATAGAAACCCCTCTTCATCTGTTCAGGGAGTATTCAAACTTTATTAGAGACATATCAATATAAATCAGGTGTATTGCAAAGTACAAAATCCCATTAAATCTCAACACTATATTGTCCGGTAACACTAAAGGATGCAATATGTCAATAGCAGAAATAGTAGCTTATTCTAACTAGAAGTCAGATATAGCCCCACAAATGGCTTGTAGCACACATCGAAATTAGTGAACATGGCAACAAGTTGGCTGGGCTGAAATCTGTTTAATGTGCCTTATGTAAAAATAGTAATATCTAAAGCCCCTGAGTATCCATCTTGTGGCCAGTCGACAAACTGTGCTCAGTTCTGTTTTGTGCTCAGCGCTTACTTCCAAGCATGCAGGCCCAATTCAGATTGGAGCCACAATATGCAGGACCTTCCCCTGCACACTATTTTTCTCCAACTTGGAAAAAACCCTGAGGAGCCACTATTTCCCATTGTAGAGAAACATCCTTCTTCCTGGTGGAACAGGAAGACTTGAAGGACTCCAGTGAGGATGGACTGTCATCCCCAAGGTAGATGATCAATTCTCAGGACATGAGAAGGAAACTCTCTTGCATCTTGCTCTCAAGTTGGAAATACAAGCCATGGAGGACTACGCTTTATCTAGGGAGTCCATCATGTCCACATGGCCAAGGACAATGGGGAGAAGACCCAACCCAAAGAACTAAGGTGATGCTGAACTTTAAACGACTGCAACTTCAAGTCAAGCTGCCGTGTCCTCATTAAACATTGTTTAGGATAAGTTCTGAGCGTAGGAAAAGGGAATGTGTGTTTTCACCTTTTGGTTGTACCCTAGTTCAGCCTGGATGTTTGAACAGGCCATGTGCATTCTTTTCATTCATTTATCAAACTTTCTTATATTTTTTAATGTTCTAAACCTATTTGGTCCCGATATCTGAAGAGCTCAGTAGGAGAAGAAACTGAAAAAAGGGAAAGGGGACGGTGGGTCTTCACCTCTCCTTTGGTCCCTTTCTCAGACTGAAGGCATGGACAGACCATGTATATTTTAAATTCATTTATTATATTTTGAATGTTCTAAGCCTGATCTCTGGAAACGCATCGTGTCTATTTGGTCTTGCTACCTGGAATGTGGTAACAGGGAGGGGCAGCAGGTAAGCTTTTCCTGCTCAAAATTGTGAAGCTGCAATAGATCACCTCCATGTTAGCTGGTAGGAGTGAAGTGGACAGGTGGTGCAACAAGACAGGATCTCTAAACAGCAGCACAAGTCTAGAGTGCTTAACATGCAAACCCATTCAGCATGAGATACTCTCAGAGTCACTGGTGGCAGTGGAGGTCACCCAGTTTCTATGTGGCACCCCTGGGAAGCAAAGGGAAGGGGTAGTATCACCGAGCGGAGATTTGGGACAGCTGAAGGGTTTTTCCAAACTCTCAGGGGCCAACCAAAAGAAATATGAGAGGCTTGCAAATCCATTTTCTCATACTCATATTGGAGAAACTTATGTGTAATCATTCTGTACATGTATGTTTCCCAAGTGGAGCAAACAGAGGTTAATATGATGTCGAAGGCTTTCACGGCCGGAGTTCATTAGTTGTTGTAGATCTTCCCGGCTGTATGGCCGCGGTCCTGGCTGCAATGCGTGCAGGCCCAATGCGTGGAGCCACAAACAGATATTAGAACATCAGGAGAAAAGAAACTGTCTTCCCTTTTATCAACACCTACAACAGTCTCTAACAATCCTCTGGCATTAGTTGCTTTATTCTGAAAGTCAGTAGTTTTATGGTGCATCCAAAAAAAGAAAGGAAGATGTTACCTACCATGCTAAGGCAAAAAACTGCAACACGCAGAAGATAAGCGCAAGTCCCTTGTTGTGCCACTAAAAGAGGCAAAAATAATCACAATCAAGTTAAAAACGAAGTATTATACATTTTATTAAAGTGCAATGGTTAGCAATTCAAGTACTCACCCAGAAAGCTGAACACAAGGTCAATATGAGACACAACTAGAAAAGAGAAAAAGTCTATTAACTAAGAGAAACCATGACAACTGAACAGTTATGTGTTCCTGTATGAAGGTAGAGCACAGTGTATTAAAGGTAATGTAAGAACTGTTACCATTAAAAAAAAAACCTACTTACATTTTTGCATTGGCTTGGAATGCAACCCGCCTCCCCACTCCCATCTATACTTCAGTTGCCCAACCAGCAAATTTAAGGCTAAGGGCCTAATCTAATTTCTCCTAAACTTTTCTGTGAGTAAATAATTTAACTAGCATTTAAATAGTAACTACCATTCTAATAGCAAGCATACATGCAGATGCAATCACAAAAAATGTTCTCAGGTTCAACAATCTCTATAAATTTAGACAAAAGTCTGTTTGTAAAAATATTCTATTATCTCACTTCCACACCTACAGAAAAGATAAATACACATCAGCTGGAGATCTGGTCACAATAAAAAGAGAAAGGGAGCAATGGACAAGTTTGAGAGTATATAGATTCCTATCAGTCTGGACAGCTGAAAAGAACCTTCATGTCCAGAAGTAATAATCACAAATCAAAGTACCAGGTGCTCTGAACATATAAGAAGGCATGGCTGTCACTTTAATCCCCCCCCTTTTTTTTTAAAGAGTTTTCCCAAAGTATCATGTCCTGCTGTCAGAAACAGAAGGCTAGACTTCAGTGTGATCCAGCAAGAACAAACAGGAGTCTCATGACACCTTAAAGACTACCAAAGTTTTATTCCAACAGGAAATAAAATTAAATGAATGCACACACACTGAGTTAGCACATGTAATATAGCTACAACAGCAATCTTGGAACTGGCATATCAGATCATAGCAAGGCAGAGGGGAAGGGAAGTAATGCCTGATCTCTGCAGGGAGCTCCACTGACATTATCTCACATTGCCCTTACCCACTTTAACCACAGGGTGGAAACCTTGGTCCTTTCATTCATTAGTATACCTTTTTTTTTTCTACAAAGCCTACTAACTTCTTAGAGACAACATGGAACTAAAGCAGACTATGGATATTCCAGGATGCTGTACAAGCAATACAAAAGACACCAAGGTTGTTTAAATTACATAGTTTAAGTAAAATCTTTAGCAAGCATTAAGTTGAAGCCCATTCCAACCCACGTACAGGCTTTAAAAAAATTAAATTTGTGACTTACAAGCATGACTATAGTAGCTATCAAGCGGGTTGGTTCAAACATTCTTTTCAGTTGCCTCATAGGCCCCATAAGGAAGATGGTGCTGTAACAAGAAAAATACCTCAATAAAGCAACAAACTGCCAGAAGAGGCAATATTTATATATTATGCATGTTTAAAACAATACAGTAACACTGCAATTCTATGCAGTCAACTGATTTCAATGGACATAAACTGGAGTAACTCTGCACAGGATTGCACTGTGAGTGTATTAGAGGAACCATAGCACACATTAGCCTCCAAGATAGTACTACATACTTCAAGAGGAAAGTTGGTGAATACTATACAAAAGAGCAATGCTTATTTCCCAATATAGCATTCCCAAAGTTTATTTTATTTATATCTTTTAAAAATTCATACCAGTCTCAGGACAAAGTTTTCAAAGCATCTTTCAAAACAAACATACAATAAAAATATATTAAGATAACATAAAACAATAACAAACCCCATAAAACAGCTAGAAACAAATCTCACACACACCTCAACCAGAGGTGTACATGTCTAAAAGGAAGAGTAGGTGACAACAAAACAACAGTGGAGGAAAACTCCACAAGCAAGGCATCACAGCAGAAAAAGCCATTGCTCCTAAAGGTGGGGCACAGAGAGAAGGGCCTGAGTCAGTGAGGAAGCCTATTAAGAAAATATAGCTAAGGCAATGCTCAAACTGAGAACTAAGTGTTCACCTAGTCACCTCTAAGAAAGAAAGAAGGCACTGGTGATATTTTGTATTTTGGGTCAAGAAATGCTGATTGTTGTTGTTTCCTATTTTCACAGATAATAGTAACCACTCTTTCTAGTTATTCCAATGCGGCAACATCAAGCATGACTAATCCCTGTAGTCTGTATATATGGTGCCAATTCCTTATTATCTGGATTCAGAAGGAGCCTTCCAAGTCACAGATTAATTAAAACTCTAACAACTACTGTGATACTTGATCTTGCAACTGCTCCCAAGAGGAATTCCCATAACTGGCAATATAATAATAATAATTTGATAGAGACAGGCACGAGGCTTTAAAGTAATCTTCAAAGAAATAAAATTTCCAATATCACTAGCAGTTGTCAGAACCCACAGCCAACAACGGAGTACACACTTCTTTAGAAAGGTTATACTTTTATGAAGAACCACAGATGCAGTAACATAGTCACTGTTAAGAATAGCAGTTGTCTCTTGAACCTAATGAGATATAGGGCATTCGTATGCACCCCCCCACCGCACTGGCCAATTAGGCACCCTCCCGCGCGTGGGCGAAAGCCGGCAAGTGTTACTAGGCGAAGCTGGGAATTGAGCGGCTCCCACGGTCGGCCTTGAAGGCAGACAACACACATTACCACCTGTACGGCTTTGGAGATTAGCATTTCAGCACAGAGCAGAGAGAAAGGAATGTGAAAGCAATTTACACAGACACTGAAAGAACATCCCAACCCCCATGGCAACATAGCTGACAGCAGTATACTATAAACTACGCTCTATCTTAGGCCTTCTTTGTCATCCTGACCTTTAATCTTTGTGAAAATGAGGTTTGTTGATAATAGTTTTAAACATCAGAGCTGGCTGAAATATGAACAAGCAGCTGAAGGAACATTTCCAATAACGTGGAATAATATATACACATGGTTAAATTACTTCCTAGATTCCAGGTGAGCTGAAAATCACAAACATGATAACTTATTTCTGTGTCAGCTATTCTATATTAAACTACAACTGGGGAAAATATAGGTTATGAATTTCAAGAACTGGCATTTCATTAAATTCATTCAAAATTACCTTCCAAGGGATAAGATATTTCCCAGTGTATAAAATACTGCAAACAGTATTAGTCCTTTCCTGGGCACCCATAGCAGGCAACTACCCTTGAGAGGAAGATAAGAAGGAAAAAAGTCTGTAAGACAAACTATCTGTAACTAGGAGCTATTAAACATAAATTCTAACGGTCTCAAAAATTATTTAATGGAGCATAAAGTTTTGTGATAAACTAGTATTCTCCTTTCATGCAAAATCATTTCATCCGCTTACAAATGTATGAATTAGTATTGCAAATCCAGATTTCACCAAACAAGGAACATTGGGTTGGATCACAGCGTATCTGTTCCCCTACTAGTAGCATATCTAGTAGTAGTTGAAGGATCCTCTGCTATTAAGAGTCTGCTGGATCAGCAAAAATACTGAGTCAGAGGAAAGCATCATCCACAGGGGAATAGATCTGTGAGACCCATCCCTAACAATACATAGGCATGACTCTGCTGTAACAGGTCAATCAGTGACAAATTATACTCAGACTTGACAACCCAACCGTAAACTGACAGAGAATGTTCAATTGAAGTTGTAGTTTAGCAAACCAGCCCAAGTTTAAAAAAAATATCCAGTTACATGTGAGATTAATCCATGGAGTTGAGAGTAGTGTTTTGGTCACACTTACATTCGTTAGAGATTAAACTGATTTACTACAGGTGACCATGAATTTCACAGTTTGAACTCGGGTTCCCCACATTAAGACCCGTAAAACTCTAGCTACCATGTGTCACTGTTGCACAAGATTTTTTTTAAAGAAACATACAAAGTTAGAAAAGAGTTAACATGTTTCAGAACACCAGAATCTAATTTCTGGTTTGCCCAACATCTTGAAATCTAGTTCCATTTCTAGCAGTTCTCTGTTCCTAAGGACATGCACAGTTCTCTAGTTGCATTTCTAGCAGTTCTCTGTTCCTAAGGTTGTATGCACAGACAGAACAATTTAAATAGTAATGAATGCAAAACCCGTGAAAAATTAAAATTCTAAAAATCCAGTATTGCAAAAAAAAAACATATAAAGAGAATTAAACATTCAGGAATAATATGGTGAAATGGAGAAAAGCTTGCTTATTTACTCCAGTTAAACAAGGTATCAGCAGACTTTTTCTAGCCCCATGGTGTATACGTTTCAGAGAAAAATCAACTATTGTACAATAATATGTATGGTACAATCTTCTAGATCAAATCAAGCCTGAAGTGCTCCTAGAAGCTAAAATGACTAAACTGAGGCTATCGTACTTGGGTCACTGTTACAGGAGGGCCTAGAATAGGCAGGCCTCCCTCTCTCCGAGAACATCTCTAGGGGAGAAACACTCAAGGCTTTTGGCTAACAGAGCATACAATGTTTTTAAGGATGATCGTCCTGGTGCCTGCAAGAGCAAGAGATCATGCAAAGCACCCTGAACAGGGTCCTTCCTTTATAGGGTAAAGTAGGCAGTCAGACTGAAATAAGCTTTAGACAGAAAATTTAGAAAAACTGAGTATCTCTTCAGGCATTATATGAAACCGCAATAACGAACTCAGAAGTGCTCATTATCATTAAAGTTGCAGTATACAGCAGAACAAAAGTTTCAAATTTTAATATTTTTTCTCTAAAATGTAAGCTGTGTTTTGACTTTTGCTGTCTCAATCCTTCTCGTTTTCAAACTTTTTTAAAACTAGAAGCCACTCCTCCATCCACAAGAGGGCACTCTGACTTCACAAAATATTTTATTCAGTAGCTCCCTAGATAATTTTAAAATTGATTTAGGAGCTGCGGTGGCTCAAGTGGTTAAGACGCTGAACTGCAGGCTGTGGAAGGTCAGTAGTTCAGCAGTTCGAGACCCAAATGTGCCGCATGACGGAGTGAGCTCCCGTCTCTGGTTCCAGCTCCTGCCAACCTAGCAGTTCGAAAGCAAGAAATTGCAAGTAGATAAATAGGTACCACTTCGGTGGGAAGGTAACAGCGTTCCGTGCGCCTTGGTGTTTAGTCATGCCGGCCACATGACCACGGAAATGTCTTCGCACAGCGTTGGCTCTCTTCGGCTTTGAAACGGAGATGAGCACCGCAACCCTAGAGTCGGATTCGACTGGCTTTCGAGCAAGGGAACCTTTACCTTTTTAGGCAAAGAATTCTGAAGAGAGTTCATCTCATCAGTTCTGTTCCCAAACATAATTCCCTCTCTCTAACCTCTGTTCAGAATACATTCTACATTCCAAAAAGAACAAACCACCATAAAACTCTTCCCTGAGAAACAGCATGTCTCCAACCCTTAACTGAGATAGTTGCTAAGAAAACAGAGGTCAAAATGAACAGATCCATGGGTGGGGGCGAAATACAACATTTCTAAAATTTGGCAAACCAGCATAGACTCATAGTTGTAAGACATGTAAAATTCCTTAACAGTCACATTATAAGAAGACAAGACTCACTGGAAAAGACAATAATGCTAGGAAAAGTTGAAGGCAGCAGGAAAAGAAGAAGACCCCAACATGAGATGGATTGACTCAATAAAGGATGCCACAGCCTTCAGTTTGGCGCAAGGCTATTAATGATAGGACATTTGGGAGGCCATTAATACATAGGTCTTGTCGGAAATGACTTAGCACATGACACACAATCTTCCCTTAAAGAACTGAGCTAAGAGAATGTCGTTCTTCTTAGCCAATACTGGCTGTATATAGTATTGACTGGTTGGCTCCCTGTGATATCAAGGGGTCATTTCCCTTTCAAAGCAGTTTTTCAAAGTGAATACACACACCTGGACAGCTCAATTTTTTATTTGGGGGGGCATCAAATCACAGTTGACTTATGGTAGCTCTGTACAGTTTTCAAGGCAAGAGACATTCAAAGATGGTATGTCATTGCCTACCTCTGTGTAGCAACCCTAGACTTCCCTGCTGGTCTCCCTCCAAGTAGAAACCAGAGCTGATTCTGCTTAGCTTTTAACACTTGATGAGATCGGGCTAGCCTGGGTTATCCAGGTCAGGGCAAAAAAAAAAATCTGTTTAGCCCACCTGAAAATATTGGATGAGGGAAGACAATATGCATTCAATTTCTCGATTAGTATGTCTGCCACTGGCATTCTGAAAGGTGGGCTTCATTCCACAGAATATATATAAATTTGTGCTGCAACTTCTGGGAGTTTTAAATGCATCTTTATGTACCCCAGATCATGAATTTCAGGTCTGTCAACATCCATGATGACTGGAAGCATTTAGACTTTCATATTGCCAGTTCAAAAGAGAACAGATAAATCCCCTGATCTACATATTAATTTCAAAACTATTTGCCCATACCGAACCAAATCTTGTTGTGTAGCTAGGATACAAGCAAGAAGAATGCCAAGCAATTGTATTAATATAGATACTGCTACCACTTTATGATGTTGAATTTTTTTATATACTGAATTGTTTCTAGATGCTTTTATGATTGTCACAATTGTTATTTATAGGTTTTATTTTCCATGTAAGCCACTCTGAGCCTGCCTCGGCAGGGAGGGAGGGGTATAAATTGAACAAACAAACAAACAAATAAATGACCATAAATGGCTTTCTAGACACTTAGGAATGAAACATGACAAACATCTAAACTTTATCTGACAAAAGCTGATAGAAGGGAGATGGGAGTCTTACCAAAATAGAGCAGAGAACTCCTAAAGCAAAACACGCTATGAAACCTTTCAACCTGGTGCTCCAGCTTAGAGAAGATGCATCAACTACCTGCAAAATTTAAAAAAGACCATCATTAAAACTGTCATCACAACATTTTGAGACAAGCAGCAGGTGGTGACCCTACATTACATTATTTATCTGCATTAACAGTCCCTTCTGTCTTCCTTGCTTCATCAAAGTTGAAAGCTTTTAGTAGCAAGTTTCGCCCCAACAAGATTCAATCAAGAAGTTCTATCTTTTATAACAAAAGCGCACACACTATTGTAAACTCTTTTGTACAGAACATAATCAAAAATAATTTCAGAGACCATGGTACTGACAATGAACCACAAGGAAAGGCAGGGTATAAGTGTTTTAATAAAATAAATACAGTTACTTTCTGAAACTAAGCAGGACTGAAATGGAAGGCAGACAAGATTGAGACAATTAAATGAGAGATGTTTTGAAAGTGCTTGGAAGTCTCTGTATGCTTTTCAAGTACAAATGTTTTGGAAAACATTTACTATTCCTTTAATAAAAGGGAAATTTGGATTATTTTAACCGTTGTTCTAAAATACCAACAAAGCAGTAAACATTTAAAAATATTAAAAGTGCCTTTAATATCAATTGTACAATCTCTAAAGTCCAAACAATATTTTAGTTAAAGTAAGGGTGGGGTTGGGAGAGAGAGCAATATGATTAAATATTTTTTTAAATCACATAATTAATATTTCACTGTTTTTTCTTTTGCCAGGCTCATAATCAAGCAGACGGAAACTATTCTTAGGAGGTTGATATCCTGCAGCCTTTCCAGTAATATTCCCTCAAGTGGCAGTTCCAATACAGCAATGTTATATTTTTCCCAGCACAATGATGTAATATTTTATCACTGGTATACAAAATTCCTCTCCTCCATCCAGTGCATTCACTACTATTGTAACTGCTGTGTTGTACTCTGCTGCTCAGGCATCACAGGTATGCCACCAAAGACAAGACCTCCGTACACAAATATGAATACCCCAGTTTGTGAACTTTTACGTCTTCTGCCTTGGGACATTCCTTCCATTCCTAGCCTCATTTTCTCACCATTTACTAAACCTTTACTTAGTTTTTTTTTAAAGCTTCCCTTAATGTTTATGGGCTTTGCCACAGAGGAAAGGTAGTGGAGGAAAGCTAGTGTTGGAATGCTTATCAAATTGAACATTAGGATCTGTGATACCTCAGGTTTGAATCCCAACTCTGCCATGGAAACTCACTGGGTGACCTCGGGCCAACCACTCTCAGTCTAACCTACCTCACAGGGTTGTTGTGAGGAGAAAGTGGAAGACAGGTGAACAACATAAGCCATTCTGGGTCCCCATTAGGGAGAAAGCTGGCATATAAATGAAATAAATAAATAAGAGCTGCAGTTACCCAGTAAAAGCAAATAGCACAAGTAGTTCTAAATATAAAATCCAGGGGGTAAGAACATAGCATAAGAACATAAGAAGAGCCCTGCTGGATCAGACCAAAGGACCATCTAGTCCAGCATCCTGTCTCTCACAGTGGCCAACCAGTTCCTCTGAAGGGTCAACAATAGGTTACAAAGGCCAAGGCCCTCCCCGATGTTGCCTCCTGGCTCTGGATTCAGAGGTTTAGTGCCTCTGAATGTGGAGGTTCCCCTCAATCACCATGGCTAGTAACCACTGATAGACCTATCCCCCATGAATCTATCTAAGCCCCTTTTAAAGCTGTTTATTCCTGTGGCCATCACTGCATCCTCTGGCAGCAAATTCCACAGTTTAATCATTCTCTGTATAAAGTAGAATTTCCTTTTGTCCGTCCTGAACCTACTGACCATTAGCTTCATTGGATGCCCTCAAGTTCTAGTATTTTGGGAGAGGGAGAAATTTTCTGTCAACTCTCTCCATCACATTTATACTTGTATAAACTTCTATCATGTCCCCCCCCCCTTAGTTTTCTCTTGTCTAAACTGAAAAGTCCCAGACTCTTCAGCCTGTCCTCATAGGGAAGGTGCTCCAACTCCCTCATCATCTTGGTTGCAGAGCTGGAAAAAGTACAGAGAAGGGCAATGTCCTTTTGGAGATACAGTGACCAGAACTGTACGCAGTATTCCAAATGAGGCTGCACCATTATAATATCAGCCATTTTATTCTCAATCCTGTAGAGTTGGCATCAATCCCTTTCCTAATAATCCCTAACGTACAGTTTGCCTTTTTCACCACTGCAGCACACTAGGTTGACACCTTTACTGAGCTATCCACTACAGCCCCAAGACCTTTTTCCCTCTCTGTCTCAGCCAGTTCAAACCCCATTAGCCTATACTTGAAGTTGGGATTTTTTTTCCGTCCTACTGTGCATCACCTTACACTTACCGACACTGAACTTCATTTGTCACATTGTCGCCCACTCACCCAGTTTGTGGAGGTCCTCTTGGAGCTCTTCACAGTCAGCCTTGATTTTCACCATCCTGAATAATTTTGCGTCATCTGCAAACTTGGCCACACTACTTCGCTCTAGTTCCAGATCATTTATTTATTTATAAATTTATTTATAAATAAATTAAAGGGTACCAGCCCCAATATTTATTCAATAGTTTTCTTGCATTATATAACAAACCTTCCATTGGAGGAAAACTCTTTCCTCCAAATGAAGATTCAGTGCTTAACTAGAAGGAAGCATTAGATCCAATCCAGGGTTGTTGTTGTTTACTTAGCCCACAATAAACTGTTTCATTATGCCCATCCCACTATTTTTTTAAAAAACAACCCTCTATATTTAAGCCTTGCACTGTTTTAGGGACGCATTCAAACTATATCACTAACATCATTTAATGTAACAGTGGAAAACATCACAAATATATTTGCAACCACTACATTAGTTTTGTTTGTGCTAAATGCTCAGCCCAAAGCTGCAAAGATAAAGAATTTTAAAATTTCCAAAACAAAGCAGCTGCTCTTTGTTACAAGGAAAGCCTTTTCTTTTTCATTCCCTATAACAGAGAATCATAAACCAAAATAGCTTTACTTAACTTGCTATTGATCAACTGATGCTTTTGTTAGTGAATGTACCAATCAAGCCACTCAAAGACAGCATTTCTAGTTTTAATATGCACTAAATAGCCTTGAATATGTGCCTTGAGACAATGGCCAGCAAATTCTGCTTAAGAGTAGATTTGGTGAGCAATTATACACCTTCCCTTCCACCTTTGTTCCTATATTCTTCATAGATCCTTCAATGCCACACCTATTTTAAGGTGTCATTAATATACATAGGCCCCGGGCACACGGGCCGGATATCGCAGGGGGGAGGCGTGGCTAATTGCCCCGGCGCAGTTTGATCTGCGATTACACGATCAGAAGCGCCGGCAGCACAGCACGGGTCCTTCCCTTGGTGCCAGCGGGTAAACGGGGGGAATGCCCTGCCCCAGCGCAATCACACCAGGGGCTTCTGGAGGCAGCTTGGAGGTACTAGTTTTTAAATGCGCATTGTCAGCGTGGGCGCCACTTCCCCGATGCTGGGGTGTGATCGCCCCAGGATAATCCGCCCACCTTCCGTGCCTCTCCCGGTGGGGCCATACTTATTTAACTCGGTGATAAGAAGTCAAAAACCTGATCAACCAAAATTTATTTAAACAGTATAATATCCCTAAATAAAATCTTTTAGAGAGCAGAGGGATCGTGCTTTGAAAGCAGAAGGAATCCCGAACTGAAGCACCGCAGTAGTTGAGGAAGGAAGCAGGAGAGACGGTGACATAATAGACGATGGGCCAAAGGCCGGATGGGAACTCAATCGAAATAGCAGGTGAGCGAATACGTAGGCAAAGGTGTCCTTCTCAACCCCCCGCTAAAGACAGACTCACCTCGGCCAGGGGACCCGGCTCTTCCGCGTCCTGCCCGCTTAGAACCCGCTTCAGCTTGTCCATTCCGCGCAGTCTAGACACTTGTTGTGTTCCAGGTTCCACCTACCGCAACACGATCTCTACCAACGCCCGCCCATCAAGCCGCCTTTCACCTCAGAAAACTACAATTCCCAGCAGCTCCTCCACCTCTTTAAAACTAATGCAATGTACACTGGGAGTTTTAGTGAATACTATACCGCAGCTGCGACGAGTTATGAATCGTTTAGCGTCTCGCGTTCGGATATGGTTATGCAAGCCCTCAGCCTCCACTCAGTTGCACTAATCGAAACAAAGCGGGTTCCCTGCTTTGTTATTTGGCTTTTAAAGGGAAGAGATAATAGTAATCCGGAAGATCCGTTCCATTCCTATTGTAACGCTTTTGTTTGAAGCTCACTGCAACGTTGCCTTTAATCACATAAGTCACTCTTTTTTGCCTGCTGAATTGCAACTGATAATGAAGCTCAAGATAATGTATCCACCTGGACTGAATCAAGACCTAGATTTCCTGTCTCATTACCAATGCTGATTTCTCCATGCCTACTACCTCTCTGCTTATCACACCTAATCCAATCACACCTACTATTGTTATTTGCCTACTAATGTCATTTGGCATCTGAAATCACTCCACTTCCCAATATATATGACAGATGGACTCACAATCTAGGTGTAGCTGAAGAAGCAATGAGTCATGAAAGCTAATACCCTACCACAAATTTTGTTAGTCTTTAAGGTGCTACTGGACTCTTTTCTACTGCTACAAATATCACTACCCATCTTGATCTATTTCCTAATCACAGTTTGGGGTAAATTGATTGTTACTCCTATTTTTGTACATTAGGAGCTCAGGTCAGATTGGAGCCTTATGACAGGTCATTGACATCATAAACACACTAGGTTCTGGGTCACAGTTATAGTTAACCTCTAGTTTTAATTAATTGCATGCATCACTAATGTGGAATGATTTTCAAGTACTCCTGCTTTTGTTATTGTGTACTTCACCAAATCACAAATACACAAATTCCTGTTTGGAATTTCAATACTGTAAATAAAACCTAATTATTCATGCAAATATTATCCATTTTTTTCTATATCCCTATGAGCTGTGGACATAAGGCTGTACTTAAGTTAGCCATATGCAAACTATGTCCATGAATTGCTTGCAATCAAGAAAAATACAGAATACCTGCCATCTTCTGTCATTTTTCATAGTATAGGTTTAGAAACTAGTCTGTGGAATGGCCTACAGCTCCCTTGCTTTGATCCACTTGTGCGAAATACCTTTTCTCCCTACAACCCACCTTACTGGAACATTTCTTAAGTACTTCCCATGTGAGCCAATCCTATAGATGACTACCACCCACAAATTAGGCCTGTTTAGCTAGGGCTATTTAGATATTTATACTCTGCTTTTTATTTAATTTATTTATAGTTTTGTGTAATGGTTAAGTGCGTGGAGAGAACTGGGTTTGATTCCGCACTCTTCCACTTGCAGCTGCTGGATGACCTTGGGCAAGCCATAGTTCTGACAAGAGCTGTTCTCTCAAGGGCAGTTCTTGAAAGAGCTCTCTCAGCCCCACCTACCTCACAGGGTGTCTGTTGTGGGGAGGGGAAGGGAAAGGAGTTTGTAAACCGCGCTGAGACTCCGAATGAAGGGCAGGGTATAAATCCAATCTCTTCTTATAGTTTCCGTTCTCTCACGGACTCGAGGAGGATTTGTGGGGACCTAAACATTGTCCTGCCCATTTCCATTTTATTCTAACACCCCTGTGAAGTAGATTAGGCTGAAACCCAGCAAACCTCCACAGTGCAGCAGAGATTTGGGTTTAGTCTGATTCTGACCCCATGACATTCTCTCTCCTAGGATCTATAGTCCTATGGCCTAAGAGAAGGCATACACAAGATTTTCATATTTCTTTATCCTGCAGCAGGACAAGGAAGATGTGTGCATGTATAAATACATAAAAACAACAAAACTCTAAAGTCTACTGTCTTTTAACACTTGCAATTTAATCCACTTGAGGGAATATTTAATTCAATGAAGAAATCAAACTTGAAGGAAAAACATAAAATGTGGCATACATTTTTATTTAGTGACAGGTGCTCGGAAGTATAAACCATCACAAGTTTAACTAGTGAGCAGTAAAAGAAAGGCCTTTTGATGCAGAGACTGGGGTATAGTCTCAAAATATTGCTCATGAGCAGCTTCTCTATGAACTGAAGGGGCAATACAGCTTTATAGGTTGTATCCAGTTGCCATTGGAACTTAGCTGAACATCAGAACACTTTCCAGAAATGAGACAGTGAGATCTCCTGTATGTCACATGACATGTACAATAATGAATAAAGGATGCAGGATTCTCATTCTCTTCCCCCATTACATTTCTGCCATATATATCAAGATGCATGACAACTGAAACTGACAAGTTGATATTTTATCTCTTATATTAAAAAACAGAGACCAATAGGTTATACAATACACAGTAATCCATCCTCTCTCCCCAGTCACCCTGTTGGTATTGCTGTATCTTTCCCCCTACCTGGTTGTGCTACAACAGAATAGTATAAATTGTTGTAACTTGACCTTCATGATGGTGTTATGTCAGCTGACATAAGTATGGACAGCATCAGTTCCAGTGTTTATCTCAATTATAACTTCCCTGCCTATGTCAACATAAAAGGCCATAATTGGATAAACAGAATTCATTTTTTCATACTCATACTTTTTTCATTCTCCCCTCACATAGGGGAAAAAAGACAAGTAGCTATATGTTTTTTAAAAAACAAAACCTAAATAAGGTAAGTTTTCCACTGTGCTTAATCTGCTAGATGCAGGAATTGCTTGTTTTTGCTTCATTGTCTTCCCCTCTCACTAAATGAGTATTTGTTTTGCAGAAAGCACCTGTTCCTATTTCATCCCTTCTTCAGTCAGGCAAGAAAACAGTTCTATTCTATTTTGGCATATAATCATGAATGAGAGCAGAAGAGCACTCATGACTGGACAGTATGAAGCATTGAGGGATCCTCAGATATATGATAAGTCTGACCATCTAAATTTTTCCTTAATAAATATTACAGTCAAAATATTTACTAGGCTTCATTCTTCAAAGTACTTTTTTAAAAAGCAATAGACGTCACTGAATTGAAAAGCAATTTGCAAAATCAGGGTATCTTCCTTACACAGGTATATTCAGCTGTGAACCTTCTACCATTGCCACTTTAGGGTTAGTATGATTAACACATAAACAAGTCTTAGGATTAAGTCTCGCAGTAGTGTTCAATAGCACTTTCCCCTAAATGTGCAGAGAATCAGACAGCACATCTCAAACCCCCACTAAGATAGGTATTCCACCTCTTATAAATGAAGACACTGAGGCACTGATTATTTCAACCCACTCAATGTTGCTAAGTGAATTAGGGATAAACTAGACAAATTAGGGATAAACTAGACAAACTTCTGTGATCTTCCATGGTTTTAAAATTTATAGAGGGCAGCTATGACAATAGAGGGGTGTAAGTTAAGCCTACCCCTCAAACTGTTTTCTCAGTGCCCACCACCCAGTACATGCCTGTGTGCACGCCCTGCCCCCCAGTTTGCTATTTACCCTGCAGTGGAAAATAGTATGGCGTTTTTCCCTATTGGGGCAAACTGCAGCTCACCTAGGGAGAGAAAAAACCTGTACTGTGAAAGCTTTCATATGGCAGGGTAAGAGAACTCCCTCCCCTAATGCTGACTTACTGATTCAAATTTTGGCTCTCCACAAGCTGCTTTTTAAAAACCAAGGATCTTCTGGCACCTCATCTAACTAAGCTCTCAGTGGCACAGAAAAAAAATAACCAACCTCTTTTGTTAGCCTCTGCTTTACACTGCTACACAAAAATTCTATGATGATAGCAGAACAGATTCCCAGTGTCCAAAACAAATCTGAACTTTAATGTGTTTCTAAATGAGCCATGATCTTAAATTCCTTTCTAGAACTTTCTCCCCTCACATAGGGGAAAAAAGACAAGTAGCTGTATGTTTTTTTTAAAAAACAAAACAAAAAACAAAACCTAAATAAGATAAGTTTTCCACTGTGCTTAATCTGCTAGATGCAGAAATGAATAAGAACAGAGCAGAATGGACAAGCAGATGGAATGCAAGTTTTCACCTTCTGGCATGGAAAAAGAATAGGAGAAGCAAAGGCAAGAGTGGAGTTTCATATTCAAAACTGCATTGCCTAATGCTGGAACACAATTGAACAAGCATTACAGTCATATTAGGATGTGTTTAGGTTAAGCTTTACAGTGCAGGCCAAACAAGCTTGCTGGTGGCCTAAAGAGATGAGAAGGTCAATTACAAACATTAAAGTCCTTTATAAAGGAAACAGCAGGTGCATTTACCTATTCTACCACTGTAAACAATATAAACCCTGGTATTTTTTTTAAGATCACAGGCAACATTTTAGAATATCAGGAATGTGGTAGCGTGCAATCCACTTAAATGAAACTATACCCTATTAATATCTAGCCCACTCCAACATCAGAGGATCAATACTAGCAAAAAGCAGACAATATGGGATCCAAATGTGAATTGATATTTGCCAGATTTATTATGCAGCTCTGTTATTTTTCTAGCTCTGTGAAAAGTTCCTGTAGGAAATATCAAACAGCATCTCTACATCCTTCTCATTTAAATAGACAGATCTCAAGCAACTGATGAAAAAACGCCATCCAATATATTCAAGGTTCACAGACCTACTAGGCATCTGTGAGCTTCAGGAAGCTGAGCCAATCTGACCTCAAGAGAAAGCATAGTTAGTGTGTGCATTATACAACACGGCCCTTCTATAACAAAAACACTATGTTAAAAGTTCTTAGGAGCCATTTAAGCTTGTGGATGGCTCATTTTAAAAGGCCTCTAAACCTTTGAGTCTGGCAAGCTTCAGAAGAATTGCTCCTGATTTGAGGGCTTACTTTCCAGCTTTGGATGAACTGGCTGTGAACTGGAACTATTAAATAGCTCCATTACTTTGAAATAAAGAGACAATGAAAACACTGACAACATCGGCATTTTGGGTTTTTTCCTTCCCCAGGGCTACAGAAATATTTTTCACACATACAGAATGATCCTGGTCCAGCAAGTAGTGGGATCTTCAATAGAAATGGCCAAGAGACTATATAATCTCCAGAAGAAAGTCTGTATCAAGTCCACAAAATTTGAATTCCACTTAAGTGTGTTCTGGCACTGCTGCAAATTCAGGACTCAAATTTTCTGGAAACTCCAACTTCTCACACACTGTCTCCTTCACGGGTAAATACTGGGCAATCTCATTAGGCTCTGTGAACAGGGCTTGAGGAACATGCTTAAAAAGAAGAGAGCAAAGATTAAGCCAATCCCAACAAAGGAAACACAGTCAAAAACATACAATCTAGAGTGGAAAAGAGTACGTTTTAAAAACAATACAGTAGAAAGCCAACCATCCACTATTTTGTGATTCTCTAACCTTAAATTACTTAAATTACTAAATACGTGGTGAGGGGGAGAATTGAAGGCTGGCTAGTGTGTGCTTTTTTCCTTAATTAATGTGATGTATTTACAGCAAATGATTATTGAAATGTTTATATTTGTCAGTGGTTTTCATTAGGATCTTGTTAATGTTAATCGGGGGGGGGACAGGCACACTTCATCAAAGGCTAAAGCAAGTAGCATTTGTCAGAGTCTTTGCCGAAAGTAATTTGTTCCAGGAAGCTGCCAAAGCTGAAACATAAAAATAACCATGCTTAAAATGTTAATACCATTAGACTTGATACTTTGCTTTCCCTAGACGTGTATTCCCGCAACATGTACCGTTTGTCAGCCTAGTAAAAAAGAAAAAAGTTAAAATGTAATTGCATGGTTACGTAACATTCCGCATGCATTGCTGGTTTCAATAATCAATGTAACATAAAGGAATTGAAATGGGTTTGTCAGTTCAGTGACGAGAGTAAGATTTGTTTGTTTTTTTCATTTTAGCAATTTCAGTTTAGTCTAAGCGGTCACCTGGTGAATCACATAAACCTGGGCCTTAAACACCTGTTATCAGTTCCAATAAAGATACTGAACTCATGGCACCACACAGCCTCTAAACTTATGAACAAGCAATTAACCAACCCATCTTGAGGGAGCGTTATTGGATATACGGGCTCAAGGACCATCCTGATTCAGGCAAAGTGGAATACAAATAATATTTAGGTAGGATACTCACAGATTGTGCACAAACTGGGCAACACTGTGATCAACAAATACTTGATGAATGTTAAGGTATTTCCACTGGTAGGATGTGCATCAACTAAAAATAGTATTGATGGCTATACCACAACTCCTTCTCAGCATACACAGATTTATGGGGCAAAGACTACAAGAAGCATTTCATAATCCTAGGAAGGGCTGTCTGAAATCTACTCAAGCCAGTCAGGCCATAACAAAGAAATAACTAGTAGTTGCCTTGCCTAGCATGAAGTTACTGTATCAAAGCAACAAACAAGGAACAACACACACTAGGGCAGCTCAGGTCCAAATGCTTATTCCATCCAGGAAAGAATAAGCATAGTAAGACTTCCTCACCTCATGGTAAAGCCTTGTGTCATTCATGCGGATAAGCACACCATCAACTCGCAGGAAAAACCGCAGCAGCACAAAGAAGCTTGAAGGCATCACCCTCTGCCAAAGACCATGACAATTATTTGCATCTGCAAATGTTTTATCAAATATTTACCTAGTTCAGTGGAACAGTAAACACTTTATAACTTCACTGGTCATTAACAGTCATTTTGCAACAACTTCTGAAACTTAACAGAAGCTGGTTTTTCTGTTTCTTGTAGGCACTAATGACTAACAGAGACATGCATGAACAAGCAGATAAAAGGGAAAAAATGTTATGGGCCATTAAGCTGTGGACTTGTTTACAAAGATCTTTCAGTACTGAAGAATATTTTCGTTGAATATCCTCTTGTCTATACCCATTTCCTTGATTCAGACCACAATCTTATGCATGCTTACACTGCAAGTAAGGCTTACTAAACTCCATCGGAATAATTTCTGAGGACTGTGCTATTATCCCCCTTCCTATTTACAACAGCTTCAATGTAACCTCAGCCTTTCTGTCGAAGCCTGAGGCTTCTCTGTAAATCAAACAAACAAAAAGAAACTAGACATTTTAAAAGGGCTATTGTTAAAGAAATATTTCCAAAGAATTTGTTCACCTGAATTACTTTAACCAAAAAAACCCGTGGACACTGTATCATTTATTCCCCCATCAGATGAGTTCTAACAACATTTTGTACTTCAAAAAGACATACAAAATAACTGAGCTCACTATTTTGACACTGAGGCTTGAAACTCCATGATCATGAAGTTCATCTTCAAACAGCAGCACTTCTTCAAAGAACATAATCTGTTCCCTGGCTTTTAATTTCTCTGTGTCTATATGTTCTGTTGTGGCAGAAACCTGGGGGGGAAGATCAGAAAATGTTACATGAACATCTATGAAACTGCCTTATACTGAATCAGATCATTGGTCCATCAAAGTCAGAACTGTCTACTCTAGCTAGTAGCAGCTCTCCAAGGTCTCAGGTAGAGGTCTTTCATGTCACCTACTGCCTGATCCATCCGATAGGAAATGCTGGGGACTGAGCCTTAGACCTTCTGCATGCCGAGCAGATGCTCTTTCACTCAGTCACAAACCCGCCCCATAAGCAAACAATTGTTAAAGACCACGGTCATATTTGCAAGGTAATGAACAATCAAAAGAATTCTAAATTTACCTTTAACTTTAACGTATCACCTAACAGTGTTCCTTTATAATCTGTTGTGTAAGTCCAATCATATGGTTTCACAATCTCTTTTGCGTGTTCAGGCTCAGATCTGAAGGAAAACGACAGACAGCTTTGTAGCATGTGAAATACAGAACAAGACAAAGACTGCAGCCATAAATCTATGGAACCCACAGCTGTCAGTGTACATGGCTCTCTCTTCCACATTTTATTCGCACAACAAACCTGTGAGGCAGGTTAGGCTCAGTGTGTGAGATTGGCCCAGTATCACCCCTTATGGCAGTTAGCATTTGAATCTAGATTTTCCATACTTTAAGCAGAGAGCCATCAGGGTGTAGAAGAAGAAGAGATTGGATTTATACCCTGCCCTTCACTACCCAAGGGAGTCTCAGAGTGGCTTACAAACTCCTTTCCATTCCCCTCCCCACAACAGACACCCTGTGAGGTGGGTGGGGCTGAGAGAACTCTGACACAAACTGCCCTTTTTCAAGAACAGCTCTTATCAGAGCTACGGCTTGCCCAAGGTCATCCAGCCAGGTGCAAGTGGAGGAGTGGGGAATCAAACCCGGTTCTCCCAGATTAGAGTCCGCAGTGGTCAAGAGCAGTGGATTCTAATCTGGAGAAGTGGGTTTGATTCCCCACTCCTCCACTTGCACCTGGCTGGATGACCTTGGGCAAGCCGTAGCTCTGATAAGAGCTGTTCTTGAAAAAGGGCAGTTTGTGTCAGAGTTCTCTCAGCCCCACCCACCTCACAGGGTGTCTGTTGTGGGGAGGGGAAGGGAAGGCAATTGAAAGCTTAAGACTTCTTAAGTTAGAGAAATGGGGCTGAGAGAACTCTGACACAAACTGCCCTTTTTCAAGAACAGCTCTTATCAGAGCTACGGCTTGCCCAAGGTCATCCAGCCAGGTGCAAGTGGAGGAGTGGGGAATCAAACCCGGTTCTCCCAGATTAGAGTCCGCAGTGGTCAAGAGCAGTGGATTCTAATCTGGAGAACTGGGTTTGATTCCCCACTCCTCCACATGCAGCCTGCTGGGTGACCTTAGCCCAGTAACAGTGCTCTCAGAACTCTCTCAGCCCCCACTACCTCACAAGGTGCCTGTTGTGGGGAGAGGAAGGGAAGGCAATTGAAAGCTGCTTTGAGACTCCTTAAGTTAGAGAGAGGTAAAGGTTCCCTTGCTCGAAAGCCAGTCGAGTCCGACTCTAGGGTTGCGGTGCTCATCTCCGTTTCAAAGCTGAAGAGCCAGCGCTGTCCAAAGACGTTTCCATGGTCATGTGGCCGGCATGACTAAACACCAAGGTGCACGGAACGCTGTTACCTTCCCACCAAAGTGGTACCTATTTATCTACTTGCAATTTCTTGCTTTCGAACTGCTAGGTTGGCAGGAGTTGGAACTAGAGACAGGACCTCACTCCGTCATGCGGCAACTCGGGTCTCAAACTGCTGAACTACCGACCTTCCACAGCTTGCAGTTCAGCGTCTTAACCACTTGAGCCACTGCAGCAGGGTATAAAAACCTACTCTGCTTCTTTTCCTATGCCATACTGGCTTTAAGAGGAGATAACTGCATTCTTTATAAAGATAATCTTTCTTTTTAGAAACATGGTGGTATTCCCTGTACAATAGCACTGTGCATACAAATACCAATAATATTTCGTTATTACCTGCTTTCTTGCCACTCTTCAGCACAGGCCACTTTAACCACACCCTGAGAGTTATTTACGCATCTTAAAGCATCAACCGCATTGAACTCAATTCCAAACTGAGACTCATGCTGAATTCTTAAGACATTGTCTCCAAACATCATTTCTGGGACACAAGGCATGCGCAGTTCTTCAGCTATTCTGAAGGGAAACAAGGAGATTGCAGCAAATTTATTTTTTTCTTGCAGGAGCTATTTCTTATTGATCTCTACATTTTACATTTCACAGAATATTCTAACAGGGAGTCAGTTCCATTTAGTCAAAATGAAACTGGCAATAGGAGGCCCTCCTCCCACAAAAATTATTATATACCTCTTTCACATTGTCATTTTACCATGCAGAAAATATGAATCAAAATGAATGCTGGGAATTCAAAGCTGATGACAGTTTCCTCATATACAATAAGCAGCACACACATAATTTATATCACAATTTCCCAGAACTTTAACAGCATGTGAAGGCATCCTAAGAAGGCAAGACAAACACCTTAACTACACACACTAAAAGACTAACTGGGGAGAACAGATGAAAGAATTTATTTTGCAACAAATTGCAACACACATAAGCTCAGTTATTATAAAGACCTGCCAATATAGGAATTTCCAAAAACATTCTGAATGGGGAAAAAATTCTAAAGTTAGATATTCTTCTCCAGGATTAAAAGCAAAGAAAAAGACTGCCAACCGGCTGCCAGATACACAGCAACGATTACTAGCTCTGGGCACGGACAGCCAACCCCTCGTCCCCGTTAAGAGGACTGCCCCCTTCCTCGACCTATCTCCCACCTTTCGGCCTCAGCCGACTTCATGATGTGGGTCCGAGCGGCGGTCAGCTTCCACGGCCCGAAAGTGAAGTCGCGCCGGCTGCTTTTGAAGACGGGCATCATGATGGCGACGGCAAAGGCGGAGCAACCATAGATCTCTTTTCATGGGACACAGCCCCCCCACCAAGGGCCCCCAAGGAAGGCGATATCCCGAGACTCCTACTCAAATCAGGCGCAACCATCAGAGGAAGAACAAAGAAATCTCTTTCCGTTTCCGGGTTGATCCTCAAGCTGGTGACATAGGCGGTAGTCTCTATGATTCTTGAACGAGACTTTCGGGTCTCGATTGCAAGGGGTAGAATCGTGCGTGCGTTGGACAAAAGCGGTGGGACTAGATGAAGTTCAACGTGAAAACTCAAGTAAAGCGGGCCGAATTAGAAGTTTCGCTCCATTGCGGTGCTTTGAAATAGTCATATGCTGCCCCCTCCCTCCTGATCTCCGAGTATACAAGAAACTCGATTAAGACACAAATTCAGTGAGGGCAAGGAAAGCGGCTCCTGTTGAATGCTTGCTTTCTTTCGTTGACATGTTTATGCCTCACTTTCCAGCCAGAAGCGCGCCCAAAGGAAGCCGTGTGTAAAGCAAGGCGACGTATAAGCACTGTAATAAATAATACACTATGGGCCCGTTCACAGGGCGAATTTGCCGTGGCTCTCCCACAATTGGATGGTAGATTTTCTGGGCGCAATCACACCACAACATCTGGCAAGTGGAGCGCACCCTGGCATGCCGCTGAAAATGTGCGATAAAAAAATACCTCCTCGAAGGTAGTAGCAAACGGTTTGCCACGGCTGCCTCGGGGCTCCCTTGGTGTGATCTTGCCAGCATGGCTTTTCCCTCCAGCTGTCTTCGTTGCAGCGTGTACCCCGAGGGCCCGAACCGTCGGTTGCCGCCAACCCGTCTGATCGCCTTGTCACGTGGCTAATTGCAGCGCCACAAATAGCCACGCCTCCCCTCCCCCCCGCCGCCGCGTTTTCCGGCCCTATGTAACATGCAAGTACTATAACAACAGTCCTAATTTGGGGGTTTAATTTTTTTTTAAATGTAATCTGTTTTATGTAATATTGCAAGCCGGCTTGAGCTCTGTGTAATGTACGGCTTGAGCTCTGTAAGGAAGAAAAATGGATAATAAATACTTTAAATAAATTTTTAAAAAAACATCAAAAGTTGCCAAAATGCACTGTTCTTGTGAGTCCCCTCCCTCCTATATCATAAATGCAGCATCTGTTCATACCAGGCAAATTACTGACAATGCAATTCTAGATAGGGTTACGCTATTCTAAATCTATTGAAATCCTTGGGTTTAGAAGAGTGCAGCTCATTTTAGGATTCCATTGTGACACTGTAATTAACTAGAGGTCATGGTACAGGGAGTATTCCTAAAGACTTGAGGGCGCCCCTCCCCACACAAAAAACCCAGAAACATTCAGGGGACCCCCATTTTTCCACAAAGGACTTTTCTTTGTGGAAATATGGAGTAACGGGGGGGCACACCTCCATTCATTCATTTATTTTTTGTTTGTTTAATGGAGTGTTTACTCAAAATGCGTAGCATGAAAATTTTCATGTAAGACAATCTACAGTGTTAAATAATAACAATTCCTTTGTAAACTTATGTTACATTTTCAAGGACTATGATTTGGAAGACCCAGGTTTGAATCTCCACTTTGTGGAATCTTGCTAGGTAACCTTGGATCAGTCACTTGTGTCCACCTAACCTACCTCACAGGACTGTTGTCAGGATAACATGAAGGAGGAGAGAGCTGTAAGCCATTCTGGGGACCCACTGAGGAGACATGGGTGTATAAGTATCTAAACAAATATGCTGTAATGTATTTGATGGTAATACACTATTAAAGAATTTAGTGTTTCTTTTTCTGATAAATGAAACATGATATCCAAATATACTGCTAGTACTAGGGCTGCCAAGTGGGGGCGGGGGGCGGGTAAACCCCCGCTTTGGAGGCCCAATTTCCGCTGCTGTGGAATCGGGCCCCGGGGGGACTCCGCCCCCCGAAGCACAGCATGGCTCCGTCACCAGAGGTGACGCAACCACATCGATCACGTTGGGGGCATGGCCCCGATCGTCGGAGGGAAAACTCTATGGAGCCCAGTGATTCTCCCCCGCCGGTAAGAGGAATCAACTTGGCAACCCTAGCTAGTACTGATATGACTATATGTTCAATTAATATACTACTTTACTGTTATTTTAATACTGTTTTAATTGTATATTTAACTGTTGTACACCACCGTGAGCCCATTGGGGAGGGCAGTATATAAATCTAATTAAATAAGTAAATAAATACTACAAAATTATTTTTTCTAACTTCAAGTTTTATTTTTTCCTGCTTTTTAGATGGCAAAAATTAAGATACATGTGCTAAGGAAGAACAGCTCTGTTAATCAAGGATTGGGTATATTAACCGCCTGGCCTCCCGACTGGATCGGTTACACCCAGATCGGGCAACCCCGGAGGCCCCGGGCACCGAGACGTACGAGCCGGCCAGAGGGTTCTTTCCAGAGGACCCGGTGTACGCCCGAAACTACGGCCGGGGGCCTCAATGGATCCCAGCCCGAGTCATACGGGTCAAGGGCCCCCGTTCATACGAGGTCTCCAGCGAGGACGGCCAGATCCTCCACCGGCACATAGATCAGCTGCGCCGTCGCACGCTACAGCTGGACCCTGAGGATCCGGACGAGGACCCAGAGCCTGCCACATCGGCCCCACTACCGGAACCGGATCCACAGCCGCCTCTCCGTGAGGAACCCGAGGCACCTCCCACCGTGGTGCCAGACTGTCCTGCCTCCTCGGCGCCCTCGTCGGTCCCAGGCCCCTCGGCTCCCAGGGCCCCCGAGACCGAACCCATCGCTACCCCGGAGCCCCGACGCTCGACGCGCCCCAAGAAGCCACCCGCCTACTTGAAGGACTTCGTCTGTGGGTGCCTTCTGAACCAAGGGGGGAGGGGTGTAATGTATTCAGCCTGACATGCCCGGACTTGCCCGGGCTGGCCAGGCACAACTCTTCAATAGCTTCATGTCCAAAGACAATGGGTCCGTAGGATCCTAGCCGGCCCAATCAAAGGGCCAGCTTCTCAGCCGGGAGACCAATGGTCGCCCGGTTACTGTAAATAGCCTATCGGGAGTAGGGGGTGTGTTTAGGTGTACTTGGTGGCGGGTTTTCTGAACGTATATAAACCAGCCTGCGAGCTGGTCCCTTGTCTTTGTCCTGACTAAATAAAGGTATGCTTAGCTGAAATCACTCTCCGTCTGCATACTTTTCACTCTGTAAGGAAGAAAAATGGATAATAAATACTTTAAATAAATTTTTAAAAAAACATCAAAAGTTGCCAAAATGCACTGTTCTTGTGAGTCCCCTCCCTCCTATATCATAAATGCAGCATCTGTTCATACCAGGCAAATTATTGACAATGCAATTCTAGATAGGGTTACGCTATTCTAAATCTATTGAAATCCCTGGGTTTAGAAGAGTGCAGCTCATTTTAGGATTCCATTGTGACACTAATTAACTAGAGGTCATGGTACAGGGAGTATTCCTAAAGACTTGAGGGCGCCCCTCCCCACACAAAAAACCCAGAAACATTCAGGGGACCCCCATTTTTCCACAAAGAAAATATGGAGTAACGGGGGGGGGGCACACCTCCATTCATTCGTTTATTTTTTGTTTGTTTAATGGAGTTTTTTTTAAGAGTGTTTACTCAAAATGCATAGCATGAAAATTTTCATGTAAGACAATCTACAGTGTTAAATAATAACAATTCCTTTGTAAACTTATGTTACATTTTCAAGGGCTATGATTTGGAAGACCCAGGTTTGAATCTCCACTTTGTGGAATCTTGCTAGGTAACCTTGGATCAGTCACTTGTGTCCACCTAACCTACCTCACAGGACTGTTGTCAGGATAACATGAAGGAAGAGAGAGCTGTAAGCCATTTTGGGGACCCACTGAGGAGACATAGGTGTATAAGTATCTAAACAAATATGCTGTAATGTATTTGATGGTAATACACTATTAAAGAATTTAGTGTTTCTTTTTCTGATAAATGAAACATGATATCCAAATATACTGCTAGTACTAGGGCTGCCAAGTGGGGGCGGGGGGCGGGGAAACCCCCGCTTTGGAGGCCCAATTTCCGCTGCAGTGGAATCGGGCCCCCGGGGGGGACTCCGCCCCCCGAAGCACAGCATGGCTCCGTCACCAGAGGTGACGCAACCACATCGATCACGTTGGGGGCATGGCCCCGATCGTCGGAGGGAAAACTCTATGGAGCCCAGTGATTCTCCCCCGCCGGTAAGAGGAATCAACTTGGCAACCCTAGCTAGTACTGATATGACTATATGTTCAATTAATATACTACTTTACTGTTATTTTAATACTGTTTTAATTGTATATTTAACTGTTGTACACCACCGTGAGCCCATTGGGGAGGGCAGTATATAAATCTAATTAAATAAGTAAATAAATACTACAAAATTATTTTTTCTAACTTCAAGTTTTATTTTTTCCTGCTTTTTAGATGGCAAAAATTAAGATACATGTGCTAAGGAAGAACAGCTCTGTTAATCAAGGATTGGGTATATTAACATATTTTCTTGTAAAAAGCTAAAAGTGCAATCCTAAGAATAATGCCCTGAAAGTAAGCCCCACTGAACAGACATGAGCAGGATTCTGAGTAGACCTGCTTAAAAGGTAAAGGTTCCCTTGCTCGAAAGCCAGTCGAGTCCGACTCTAGGGTTGCGGTGCTCATCTGCTTAGGATTGCATTTATACTTTTAAATTTTTTTATTTATATTATACTTAGTACAATTTATACTTAGTACAATTGTATACGCTAATTGCCCAACGCTATCCCTGATCTCATCAGAACTCAGAAGCTAGTCTGGGCCAGTCCTGATTAGTACTTGGATGGGAGATCACCAAGGAAGTCCAGGATCGTATGCAGAGGCAGGCAATGGCAAACCACTTCTGAACATATCTTGCTTTGAAAACTCCACAGGGTCACCATAACTCAGCTGTGACTTAATAGAACTTTCCACCACCATATGCTAACTAAGTTATGTTGGGCTTGATAGGCAAGTAAGTATTGCATATATTTTCATTTTTTCCATAGTTTAACACACACACCCAATCCCAATATAACACTTTTTTATGGCTTCAAATTTTCCAGAAATGTTACATCTCTAAGTGTTTTGGATATTTGTCTATAGCTGGGCCCTTTGTGACCCCACAACAATAAGGCTTCCCTCCTGGGAGTGTACCCCAATAAAAGTAACCTGACCAGTAGCTGTTCAGGCCTGGCAGAGCACTGAGAAGCTAAAACTGATAGTTGTTAAAGGTGGGGAGTGGGAGTTTCCAGAAGTTAATCCATTCTCATCCCCACTTTTCAACTGCGGGTTCCTTCAATAGCTTCTCGTTTTTAAATGGCCCCAAAGAATGACTTGCAGATTCCTTTTGATAACAGTGCTTTGAAAAGGCCATGGTCTGTACCCAAAAAGTAGGGGGGGAACTCTATGTGGGCCCTGGTCACACGGGCAGGAAAAGGCGGGAGGGAAGCGTGGCTGTTGGCCCCGGAGCAAAATAATGCGCGATTGCGCGGTCAGACGTCCCGTAGAGGTCCCGTGGTTAGGGGGGAGGTGCCGATCACAGAACAATCCTGCGGCGTGGCAAAGAAGCGGCCTCTCTAGCAAAAGGCTCCGCGGGTTTAACCCCTTCCAGGGCTGCAGAGGAATGCAAACTGTGTCCTCCGTCCGTCCCCTCCAGGAGGAGCTTCAGCAGGGCTGCCCTCCCGCCACGCCCCCCCTGCACCTCCCCCTCTGCCGCCCGGTGCAGAGAGTTCCTCTCGGGCAGGCCGAGCCAGGAGTGGGGGGGTACGGAAAAGAGGAGGGGGCTGTGTTGTTTGTTTTTAAACGAAGTGTGTGCATGCGCCGTTGGGTGCTTGTGCGCATCCCGTGGAGACTTGGGGAAAAAAACCTTTTAGCGACGGGACATGGGTGGGCGCCGGATGCCATGACCTACCACCGGAAACGCGATCAGGCGCCCGCCCTTGCCCCGCTGTTTCCGGAAACTAGTACCTTGGAGGTACTAGTTTTTTACTCCACATCTTCGGCGGGAAGCCTCGGGTTCGCCACGGGAGCTCTACGCTTCCCAGATGTGGCGCTGTGATCGCGCCCGGAAAATCCGCCTATCTTCCGTCTCTGTAGCGTAGCTACTGCTCCGTGTGACCGCAGCCATAGTTAAACAACAATGGGGTGTGTTCCTAATTTTGTATGACAGACAGAAAATCAGCAGGTAAAACCCTCCTTCAACCACAAATGCATACCAAGAGTACTGCAGAGTATTCAGAGCTGATGGATATTGTGTTCCAGGGATACTGTGGAAGAATTCTGGATTAAAGGAGACTTGGCCATTTATGTATAAGGTATATTGAATAGATGTAGCACAAGCAGACTTTGGTTTCTTCCCATGAAGCACTGCAGTATGTCCAGTGCTTGCTTCCTAGTAGCAAAAAGGTGCCTGGCTGTTTCCCACATATACCTCACATTCTTTTAGCTAAAATGCACTAAGCCCCAAGACTAGACATCTAGAGATTTTTGTCTATACCTCACCTTCTCTGGCCAAAGGCTTGGACCTATCTGATGCCCTTAGGGAGGAAAAGTTTATGGTTTTATGGTACCATCAAGGGAAAGGCTCTGGATACTGGTGCGCTGGTGATATTCACACAGGAAATTTGATGTATGTCTTTCATTAGCTTGAAATGGGAATAAATATTGTCAAGGTTCCTTTGTTCAGCACCACCTCCTGAACACCTTTTTGGGGTCTTCGGGTGGTGGTCAAGAAATGTCTCTTGACACTGCCATTTTTGGTGAATACACTGCCATTTTTGGTGAATTCTCTGAGATAGATAGATGATAGATAGATAGATAGATAGATAGATAGATAGATAGATAGATAGATAGATGATAGATAGATAGATAGATAGATAGATAGATAGATAATGGGGTTGTGGTGGCTCAGAGGTTAAGACGCTGAAACTGCAGAAGGTCTGTAGCTCAGCAGTTCGAGACCCGAGTGCCATGTGACAGAGTGAGCGCCTATCTCTGGTCCCAGCTCCTGCCAACCTAGTGGTTTGAAAGCAAGACATTGCAAGTAGATAAATAGGTACCGCTTCGGTGGGAAGGTAACAGCATTCCACATGCCTTGGCGTTGAGTCATGCCAGCCACATGACCACGGGAATGTCTTTGGACAACGCTGGCTCTTCGGCTTGGAAACGGAGATGAGCACCACCCCCTAGAGTTGGATTTGACTAGTTTTTGAGCAAGGGAAACCTTTACCTTTAAGGTTCAAATAAATAGATTGTCCTGCAGGCTTGTGTCCTCTTCTCTTTCCTACCAAGAGTTGATGTCCTGCCAGAATCCCATCCAGCCCTGTGAACCTAAGTGAAGCTGGTACCCCAAGGTGGAAGTCTGGTGACCAGGTGAATTAATTTTTTTTCTGCAACAGATATCAACATCAATAACATTTTAAGCCACTGTCAGTATAAAAAACGGGTTCTTCCGTAGTGTTGCCAACCTCTAGGGGGCACCTGGAGATCTCCCACTATTATAATTGATCACCAGAGGACCAAGATCAGTTCCCCTGGAGAAAATGGCTGCTTTGGAGGATGGACTCTATGGCATTATACCCCTCCTCAAACCACACCTTTCCCAGACTCCACCCACAAAATCTCCAGGTATTTCCCAATGGAGAGCCAGCAACCCTACCCTCCCTTCTAACCCCAGACAGCCATGGCCTTCCAAGTCCCATAACCACAGAGGAGCCGCATGAGAAACTGGCTCAGTTTCCTAAATTCAGTACAGGGAAGCCATCCTTAGTTTATGTGCTGAAAGCACATCTTGTTCTCTCTGCTTTCCAAAAGAGCCCAAACCCTCCAGCCAGCCATCTCACCCTCAGAAAATAAGAGATGACCACATGAAATGGATAAGTTTAATGTGTTTCTCTCTAGGATTGCCTGGAGACCTGCTATTATAATCGATCTCCCAGTTACCAAGATCAGTTCCTCTAGAGAAAATGGCTGCTTTGGAGGGTAGGCTCCTGAGGTCCCTCCCAAGGCTCCACCCACAAAACTAAGCAACCTTAGTTTCCTCCACAGGTAGATGCTGCACCAGCCAAGAAACCCTGAGAGAACAAGCAACTCATGAAGACCGAGATCAGACTGGGCTCCATCCTAACCGCATTTGGGCTCCACACTCTGCATTTTGTTTCTCTCAGTCCCTATATGACACAACTGGCCAATGAAAATACTCTTGGCATCAGATGAAATGGGCTCTTGTCCACAAACACTTAATGCTGCAATAAATCTGTTCCTCTTTAAACTGCCACGAGAGTCCTATTTGTTTTCTGTGATCTCACCACAATGGACACCAATAACATTGAACTGCACCACAGCTCTCCTCGCCTTTATAGTTCTTCCCAGAATTGTAGCTGAATTCTTCAGTGATTTTTCCTGGGTGACTTGTCACTAGAAGTGGTGAGCTTACCCACCCGCTTCCTTTTATATAAGGATTAAACGAATGGAAATATAAAAGGCAGTGTAAAAAAAAAAGATTAGGCTTAGACTGCCAAAAGAAGCAATCAAACAATAAGAGAGTCATTATTTTGTTCCCTTTTTGACCGTTATTCAGTGGTGCACATTTTTACATATATTTAAGGGGCTTGATGGGAATTTAACCTATAGCTCCAGTGTCAGAATTAGGCTCTCCAGCATCCTTGTTCTACTTTCATCAGTCACTCCATCCATCCTCCCCACCCCCATGTCTGTAAAATCCCCAAATCAGCCTTAAGGATCAAGGGAACTGTGAAGTCTTCCAGATGTTATGAAATCATCAGATCAGTTTGCTTCCCATATGTAAAAACTTGGGATCAGACAGAGCCCAGACCTGCTGCCAAGAACACCACAGCAAAGTCAGGTGGACTGGATAGGGTTGCCAGGTCCCCCCCCCCCACAGGGGGTGGGGGTACAGTTGCTAGATCCAGGTTGGGAAACTCCTAGAGATCTGGGGGTGGGGCCTGGGGAGGACAAAGACTTCAGTGGGGTACAATGCCAAAGGCCATTCTCCAAATTTCTGTAGTCTGGAAATGAGCTGTAAATTCTGGGGGATCCCGAGGTCCCACCTGGAGGCTGGCATCCCTAGCTGGGGAGAGGAAATGTTGAATGTCATGACTTCGTTGCCAGTCTTATGTCTTCTTTCATTTCCCCTATTTTGTTAGTGTTACCTGCTTCACTGTAATTAAATATATAAGCACGCCCGCCCAAAAGTCTGCCTTTCTTTTCGTCTCACTCAGGGGGGTGGGGAAAGGAATTTGTTGGGGGGTGGGGGAGAGAAAACTGTTCAGACTATGTAAGGGAATGTCGGGAAAAACTAATTTAGCCACACAGTAGAAACTACTTAGCCTTAGTGGCGACCTAGATCGTTGCCTAGGAAAATACGCCCCAGTCGATATAAACCCGCATTTTAAAAAAAGTTTTTCTAGCCCAGCCCTGAAATGGGGGGGGGGGGGGGGGGAGGCAAAGGAGTAGAGGGGGAGGAGGAAGGGGAGGAGTGAAAGGGGACGGGGGGGCTCGTAAGGAGGAGGAGGAGACGGTGGAGGGATGTGACAGAGTAGATGGGGGGATGGAAAGGGAAGAAGGGGGGTCGGGCAGCTTTTCTGGGACTCCGCTGGCGGCGACTGTGGGGGGTCTGGGGCGCCGTAACGTGAAATCGCTACCCCACCCCTGGAACGGAGGCAGCAGGGCAAGGAGAAAGTAGCTTCCCCTGACGGTGAGTGAAGCCCCGCGGGGGAGAAAACCGGGAATCTTTCTGGAGTTGAGCACCCGACGTAGAGCGCAATGGAGTTCCCTTTGTGTAAGGAGGGAGTGTGTGCGGTGGAGGGGGGAGCCCTCGGTGGGCAAAAGTTCCTGCCCTGGGCGGGCTCCGCTGGCCTCGATCGTATGGGAGCCGCTCCTCGGCGGCTGCAAAACGGCGGCTTGCTTTGTTTCCCTGCAACGATGGGGCTGGCAAGCCGGGCGAGGGTGGCACCCCGGGTGGAAGTGGCGAGCGGGAGACGCGCGGCGCACACCGCCCTTCTCCACGCCTATATGGGTGGCCTCGGGAGAGGAAAGCTGAGCTGGAAGAGAAGAGAGGAGTCGGACTTGGCTTCGCGCAGATCTCTCGAGTCCCGGGAGCGGGAGAAAGCGGAGACTTTCCGGTTTCTGTAACCAGTAGATCGGGCGCAAAGACGGCTAAGGATAAGCCAGGAGCATCTAGAAAGGGGAGCTAGTTAATGGAAGGTGTACCTCTGGTTAGGATTGCATTTAAAATGTACAGATGTCCTCTCACTGTTTGTTAGCATGCCACAGACATACATTCCCAGTGATTCCAAACATAATGGTATGTAGCATGTCTTAGGCTGGAAGAACGTATTCCAGCCTAAAGAACTTTCCTCCAACTTAAGCAGCTCTTCCATTGGAGGAAGGCTTCAGATTTGGCCCAGTGGAGGTATAACTTAACATAGGTGTGTTCCTAAGCTCTGAAAGACTTCAGTGCACAAACAGACCTGGCACATACACAGGGGTTTCTATTGGGGGGGGGAGGGGAGAGAGACCTTTGCAAGCCCATGCAGAATCTCCACTATGCACAGGCAGCATTTTTCAGCTTACTCAGTGCATATAGCACACATCAGAAATTGGTGCAGAGTAAATATTGTTGCTTAACTTTTTAATGCTTTCCTTCTTTACAGGTGCCCAGCATGTGCTGGCCACTCCACCACCCTGTGCTCTGACAATGAGCATCAACTCCTCACTCAGTAATGAGAAGGCCTTGAGGAACCTCACACTACTGGAAGATGGGGCAGGCAGAATTACAGAGTCCATTGCTCTTATTGTCATTGCTATTTTCATCTGTTTAGGAAACTTGGTGATCGTACTGACCCTCTACAAGAAATCCTACCTCCTCACGCTGAGCAACAAGTTTGTTTTCAGCCTGACCCTCTCAAACTTCCTTCTTTCTGTGCTGGTGCTTCCGTTCGTTGTCACCAGCTCCATCCGGAGGGAATGGATTTTCGGAGTCGTTTGGTGCAACTTCTCTGCCCTGCTGTACATGCTAATCAGTTCTGCCAGCATGCTCACTCTTGGGCTCATTGCTATAGACCGGTATGCTAATCTTACATTATGTGTGATGTGGGCAAGCAGCAAAAATTCAGAATGCCCAGAATTAAGTGTTCAGAGGCACAGAAACATGCTGTGTATCAAATAATACAACATGGCTGTGTCCTGAAGCTGAGGCTCATGGGAGTATTTATTGACATCAGTATATAGGATGGTCTAGCAGACTTTTTCCTCTATAGGGATTAGGGTACCAAAATGATAATATGCAGTTAGTAGATAGCATATTATTAATAACAGAAGATGAAAAAATTAAGATCTTATTAATATGGAAGCTGTTTTCCTAGTCCTTTATTTTGTCCCCGTAGGTGTCTGGAAGACTCAACAACAGCCTCATTCTTTCAGTTATTTTGTACTTATATTTTGAAACATCTCTAACACCCGAGACTGAAGTGCAATCTCAACACTTTAAATACCCACTGTGCAGATATGCTGGGTATTTTGTATTCGTGTCTCCTCCCAAACACAGTTCCTGGACCACTGCACCAATGTGGGTTCTGTAGTCCGCATAGCTTGCTGCCAGTACGGATATTTTTTTACTGTTTAGGTGAAAAGATACATCTCCATGGACTCTTTATGAATCTAGTTATCTTCCATAGCTGCCAGGAGAGCAGAAAATATGGCTTACAAAGCAGTAAACCTCTCCAAGTCACTTGGCTAAATTGGATTCCAAACATGTAATGCTGATTTTTTTATTGGAAAAGATTCCATTGATATTATATCTGACACCCCAAACATATATTTTAAATACATGTATTATTACTGTGGGCCTGGTATATACTTGTAAGATGGCATCCCCCATACACACGTACACACACATGATAGCATCCCATCATATCTCATGAGTCATGAAAGAAAGGTTTCTGTTTTATTTCTGAAATGGCATAAACAGACCATCTCCATTTATGTGCTTGACCCACTCCATTCCCCCTACAGTCTGATTCCATATGTTTCAATAGCCTTTTTTTGACAAATGTAGAAAGTTTACTGACAACCAACAAGAAATACTTTTTATACTTTCCAAAACAAGGATTTAAGGACAGCAGAGCAGAGGGAGGCTAAGTAGAACGGGCAAAATTTGTAAAATGTTATGTACCAAGAACAGTGTTAATAATATTTGTCAAGGACACCAAAATATTATGGTAACCAAGCAAACTCAGAAGCGTGACATTAAATTTCAGCCAATTTCCCCTTTCTTCCCCTTGCCACAAATGGTCACAACCTCCCTCCTCCTTGATGCTATGTAAATGGCCTCAGCTGAAACTTATTATAGTGCATAACATTCATGTAAGTATTACTTATATAAACTGATGGTCTGATATAGAGTAATTACAAACTATCCTGCTAATAGAGTCATAATCCTTTAGCCTTGGCAATTTCTCATCTTTTAGTTCCCAGGTGTATGGTGAATTACTAATTTTGCTGACTAGTTGGGTAAATCCAGACAGAACTGACATTCAATAGATAAACTCATTTATCTATTAATTGCAATTTCATATATGTATATATTTATATTTCCCCCCCAGGTACTACGCTGTCCTGTACCCAATGATTTACCCAATGAAGATTACGGGTAACAGAGCTGTTGTTGCCATTGTGTATGTGTGGCTGCATTCTCTCATTGGATGCCTGCCTCCTCTCTTCGGCTGGTCTTCCTTAGAGTTTGATCAGTTCAAATGGATGTGTGTGGCTGCATGGCATAAAGAGGCTGGATATACTGCCTTTTGGCAGATCTGGTGCGCTCTGCTGCCCTTCATAGTAATGATGATTTGCTATGGATTCATATTCCGTGTGGCCAGGATTAAGGCACGGAAGATTCATTGCGGGAGCGTGGTCATTGCAGAGGAAGATACCCAAAGGAATGGGAGAAAGAACTCTAGTACTTCAACTTCCTCTTCAGGCAGTCGAAGGAACGCTTTTCAAGGAGTGGTTTATTCTGCCAACCAATGCAAAGCTTTGATAACTATCTTAGTTGTGATTGGTGCTTTTGTGATCACATGGGGGCCTTACATGGTGGTCATTACATCCGAGGCACTTTGGGGGAAAAACAGCATTTCTCCTGCTTTGGAGACATTAGCAACTTGGTTGTCTTTTACTAGTGCTATATGCCACCCTCTGATTTATGGACTCTGGAATAAAACTGTCCGCAAGGAATTGCTGGGAATGTGCTTTGGAGACAGGTACTACAGAGAATCATTTGTTCAACGGCAGAGGACATCCAGATTATTTAGCATTTCTAATAGGATCACAGGTAATGAAGTATATGTGACAAAGTATGGCTTTATAGATATATGTAGATAAAGTTAATAAAGATATCTAGGTGCACAGATATGATTATTTCCTAAAGTGTTTTGGGGAGGATGTATACAGGGAAACATTCCTTTCACTTTACATAATGAAAAAGAAACATAAGAATTTCCCTGCCTTGGGTTTCTCCTTTGGAGAATGCATTACTGCCATCATCATTCTTAAATGAATCTAATTATATAAGCATAATAATATATTTTCGCAGTGCTTTCATTCGTTGCCAGCTGTTTTTGATACAGATGCTGTTTGTCCACAGGTGAATAAATTAATTAGGCTGTAAATAGTGAGGGCTGACAATGCTTCCATTAAAATCATTTTGCCAATGCAGACATTGTTAATACTGGAACTCTCTTGCAGACTTAGGGCTCTCCCCACATCTCACAGCGCTCATGGCTGGTGAGCGGCCTTTAGGACACAGCAGCAGCACTGGGGACACAGGGTTCAGCTGCTCTCAGGATTCAGGTAACTCTTTCTTATTGTTTTGTAAGCATGCTGCATGCAAGTGGAGAACTCTTAAGCTGCCTACAGTTTTTTGTTTCTTGCAAGGTGATTTGAGGTCCCTGTGAAGAGTTGTGTGAAGCTGAAGAGTCTGCTTTTGCTTTCAGAGCTGTGTTAGCTTTAATGACACCCTCTTGGTGCCAAAGTGTTTAAAATCTGAGTGGGAATGTGAGGAATCTGTTGAGTGCACTGCATATATTGCAAGGAAGGGAACACTCACTATGTTTAGTCAACGGAAGGTTATACTGGAATAAACGGAAGGTTATACTGGAATAAAAATCATTAGTCTTTAAGGTGCCACAGGGATTTATTTTTTCTGCAACAGATTAACTCAGCCACTTTGGTGTAGTGGTTAAGTGTGCGGACTCTAATCTGGGAGAACTGGGTTTGATTCCCCACTCCTCCACTTGCAGCTGCTGGATAACTTTGGGCAAGCCATAGTTCTGACAAGAGCTGTCCTTGAAAGGGCAGTTCTTGAAAGAGCTCTCTCAGCCCACCTACCTCACAGGGTATCTGTTGTCGGGAGGGGAAGGGAAAGGAGTTTGTAAGCCTCTCTGACTCCAAGTAGGGTTGCCAAATCCAATTTGTCCGGGAGCGGGGGGCTCCCGGATGGTGTCGTCTCCGTGCGCGCGCACCACCCGGAAGTGACGTCACACGCTGGGGGCGGGGCCATGCCATTTGAGGGGAAAACGAAGAGTTTTCCCCTCAAATGGTGTGGCCCCGTCCCCAGCGTGCGACGTCACTTCCGGGTG